TATATATATATATATATATATTCTCTCTCTGCACATGTGTATATGTATGTATATGTATATATGTGTGTGTGTGTGTGTGTGTGTGTATATATGTGTGAAAGTCTGACTCACAGACGAACACAATACTGCGAAAATTTTATATATATGTGTGTGTGTGTGTATATATACATATATATATATATATATATATATATATATATATACATACATACATACATACATACATACATACACACACACACACACACACACACACACGCACACATGTGGAAAGGGAACTTCATGAGGACAGTGGTGACACCCAAGCAGGAAAAGCCCAAAGGGAACATCAGGCCAGCCATAAAACAAACTTGCATAGGAAAAGAGATTTAATGAAAGGTATTGAAAGAAGCCCCCTAGACAAAAGCCAAGTAATTAAGAAAGCTAGGGAAACAAGAAAAAGAAATCCCTTACAAACAACAGGTCATGCCAAATCAGCAAAACAAATAGACAAAAGACACGAATAAATTCCATAGCAGACAGGAGATTGCCACCAAACAAATGTAAGAAAACATCAGGATGAAACTGATAATCCAATCAAACCACCCCGCAGAGTTTACCCTCTGGCAGAAATGAAGACAACCCCCCTGACAGGATTTAAAACATTAAGAAATACAAACACAAGCACTCACACACAAAAGGAGAAAAGGTATAAAAACCAGGAGTTTATTATAAAAAGATGGCTGGCCCCAGGAACCCAGACTTCTTGCTATCTCTTGCCTTCCTGAAAAATAAAAGGAACCCGCTTCCAAGCAGTTGTCTGTGTCCTTGCTGAGAACTCCTTCCTGAGTTCTCCCAGCAGGAAAATCGAATCCTCAAAAGAAAGGCATTTTCAAGCCTTTCAACATACACATACACACACACAATATGTGCTTAGTGGACAGCTTACTGTCTGGGTCAATTCGTTTACATAGTAATAACTTCTTAAGTTCCTAATTTCTACCCCTTTTATCCAACCATTGACAAAACAAGTCCAAAATATTCCAAAATATTCTGTGCTTTTTCTTTTTTCTTTTATCTTCCGTGTAAGAAGTGCTATTATTTGGGGGCTGGACTAAATGACTTCCAAGGTCCCCTTAAAAAACAAAACAAACAAAAACCAAAAAAAAAAACACAACCTCTTGTTAATTCTGTTTAACTGTTAACCGGGCGCCCGCGGGCCCCGGTTTAAGGGGCAGGAAAGCGACGCCTCCGCGGCGTCGTTTCTCCAGTCACGCCGGTGAACCTGAAAGCCAATCCGGCCGGCTGGGCTGGGAACTTCCCTCCTGCTTTTCTCTCTCTCTCTCTCTCTCTCTCTCGCTGCTCAGTTGCATTGTGGGAGAGGAAGTGCCTGGTTTTCCCACGTTGTTTGCAGCTGCGGAGGGGAAAAAGGCTACTCCGCCAGCATGGCCACCGCCGCCACGAAAAGGTCAGGCCGCTTGCAAAGCCAGTCCCAGGGCATCCTCGCGGGTCCGGCCCTTGCAAGAGAGGGGAGGCGAGGGGGGGGGGGGTAGAAGCCCTTGTGGGATTGGCGGGAGGGGCTGGGAATCGGTGTCATGACGGGGCAGCCCCGCAAACACGTGAGAATAGGGAACCGGGTTCGTTTCCTGCATTGGTTTGTTGCAAAGCTTGCAGAGCGTGTGAATGCATGTACTCCGGGCTCTGGGGTTGTGTGGTGTGGCATAAAAGGCAGAAAGCTACGCTGGCTGAGGAATTCTGGGAGTCTGAAATCCACAAGTCTTGGAAGTTGCCAAGTTTGGAGAGCTCTGCTGGAAAGAAAAGGAGGATTAGGGGTGACATCATAGCAGTAATTTTTGAGGGGCTTCCATAAAAGAAGAGAGGGTCAAATTATTCTCCAAAGCACCAGAAGGCAGGACAAGAAACAATGGATGGAAACTAACCCAGGAGAAATTAAGGAGTAACTTCCTTAACAGGGAGGACAGTTAAACAGTGGAACAGTTTTACCTTCTGAAGTTGTGAGTGCTCGATATATCACTTGAGGTTTTTAAGAAGAGACTGAGCTGAAATGGGATAGAGTCTCCTGCTTGAGAAGGGGGCTCGACTAGAAGACCTCCAAGGTCCCTTCCACCTCTATTCTAATTGTTGGAAAGGATAGACCTTGGAGAAGGAGGTCTGATGGGATTCAGTCGAGGTGGCTTTTTGAAATTCTGTTATCAAATACAGCTAGGATACCAAATCACCTGATTTGTTGTTGTTTTTTAATTTGAGAAGCCCTGAGTTCAAGTGCTGCCTTAGCTATGAAAGCCCCCCTGGGTGTCTTTAGGCCAGTCACTCTCTCTCTAAACCCAACCCATCACACAGGGTTGTTGTAGTAGTAGGTAAAACAGGAGGTGGGAGGTGTGTGTTGGTTGTATCAAATACCCTTGAGGTATTTGTCAAAATAATAAAGGGCGGGATATAAATAAGGCAATAAAAAGGGGATTTTAGAAGTATTGCAAACGTGCCCCATTCATATGGTCCAAATACAAAACATTTGCTAGATACTATTTTCATTTTTTGATTAAAAAGCCAAGGCCTGCATTAAAGTAAAAAAATCTCTTCCCCCCCCCTCTCTATATATATACAGACAGACAGACAGACAGACACACACACACACACACACACACACACACACACACACACACAGGTATGATAACAATTTTGTTTTAAAGAATGCTACAGCTGTTTGTTTTCTCTTAACAATTTTGCAGCTTAACTCCCTTTTTTAATGTAAAAAAAATAGAAAATATGTATTCCCAACAATCTGCTAACTAGAAATAAATTGCAAACACATTGTTTTGTTTATTGCATGTCAACAGCTGTGAAATGAGGCTTTGTGTACGTTAAAACAACAAAACCACCTTGGGGGTCTTTTAAAATGGTTCCATTAAAAGCAGGTTTAAAAATAAAACACCCTTTTAAATTGTAATGCTAAGGTCTCAACCTAATTTATCTCATCCTAACTTGCTGGCTTGGGAGGAACAATTAGATAATGAGCAACACCTGGAGATTTTACCCTGAAGGTGCTTAATTGGGAGCAGGTAGCTTTGCAGCAGTTTCTGAGGCAAAATTAAGTTTCTGAGGCAACTTAATTTTTATTTTTCTAAAAAATGGATTTTTTAAAAATGTAAAATGTAGGCTGGCTTCT